TCTTCGACAGCGCAGTAGAGAATAGGGAAGCATGCCAGTTTTTTTCACAGGCCCACGACCCCGCCTTAACTGTGCCCTTGCCTGATGGAAGTTATCAATGACACTCTCAAAAAGAGTAAATGAATGATTGATTGATAGTATGAATTCAATTTTATTTTTCAAGAACATTCATTGTTTCAATTTTACAGGGTAATTTGCTTTGATTTGCACACAAAAGGAAAGAAATATTGAACAACCCAAGCTGAATTGATATTTAAGAGGGACTATCTTAACAACACCACCAATTTGAAGGTGGAGAATAAAAAAACAACAACTCAAGTTACGACTACAGTGTTAAAGTGCTGTAATTATGGCTATCATCAATACTCAAATACTTAAATGGGCCTGTGGAGATAAAATGGGCCAGTGACAAACTGTAGTTTGTCCTAAACTGGGCAGCCCCCGAGAATACTCGTCTAGAAATTAATTTTAAGTTCAGAACCTCTTCTACACCAACCCATTCGGAGACAAGACAGAGCGCCACTTTTGCTCTCTCATGCAGTTGGCGAAATTATAGCCGTGTTTCTACAACCATTAGTGTTTGTGTTCTAAAAAAAAGAAGTGTTTGTATTCTATCACTGCCAAAGTGGAAAGGGCAAGAACAAAAAGACAATCCCCCCCAAATAAAACCTTACCGCAGCACGTCAAACCGGCAGCGTGTTGCCCGGACTCTGACCCCGGGGTCACGCTGACCTCACAGCATGTACGCTCAGAGACCGTTATAATCTTTGCGTACGCTTACGAACTGAAGTATCATGAACCTATGATAATTGGACATTTCCAAACCCCCCAAAATGTCATGGAAGTAGGGAGCCATATTGAAAGAGATTTGGGGGGGGGGGGGCAAATCAATTTATAATTGGTCGCTTTTAAGGACAAGTGGGCTAACCCAGATTTCGGAGGTTTCCAGAAATCTTGACCTACACCAAAAGTGGGCATTGCCCTACATGGAGAAGTTTGTTTTCATTAGTGTGTATAATTTATGGTCATAGAGAAAACTCTCCTTGTCTTTTAAAGAAACTGAACAAGGCAAAAAATATTTATCTTTGATTTTCTCAAAATGGCATTTTTTGGGACAGCCCCCCCCCCCCCCCCTGTACTTAAAAGCTTCCAATTATCACCTTGATTTTTTAGCGTATAAAGCATGACGACACGATACGAGCTACTCTGTGTAAATCATCACGTTTCTAAAACGCAATAGATTTTTTTTTTAATAAATAAAAAAAATTGGTAGGTGTTTTACGGCGCTCGCAACTGCATAAGGTCAGGTGAGCGCGCGGGACACATGAGACATGTTCAGTTGGTAGGGAATTTTGAATTTTGCCCGGGTGGCGGCCGAAGCCTACTCTTATCGATTTTGCTCCACCAAGGGATCTCTAACGCGAGTAACTTGTACACGCGACCTCCGAAACTTTTTCACTCTTATCCGAGAAGACTAGCTGTGTATCCTACCATAAGATCAAGGGTGTGGCTGAAATACAGCAGTAAGAAAGTACCAAAGAGTAGTAGAAAGGCTGCAGAAAGAGTCAGGAGCCCAGAGGAGGGGGCAAAGGAGGTGAGAGGGTGGGAGGGGGGGGGGCAGAAAGTGGAGATGAAAGCAGACGACAGAACATTGTTACAAAGCAAGGAAAGGGGAACAAAATTTTCCGTCGCTGTCCGGATTCCAACCCGTGACTATTGAATGAGAGGCGAACACCGTAATATCTCGACCGCGAGAGCTCCCCGAAAGGGATCTTTAACATTCGCAACTTGCACACGGGACCTCCGAGATTTTTTGACTTATTCGAGAAGGGTAAGGTTCGATTTTTGAATTTACCTAAGCCTACCCTAAGGTCAGGCGTGTGGATGAAAGACAGCAGTATGAAGGAGCCAAGGAGTAGCACTAGAAAGAGTCAGGAGTCAAAAGGAGAGGGGGGGGGGGAGGGCAGAAAGTGGAGAAGAAAGCAGATGACAGAACATGACTAAAGAACAGGAAAAGGGTTGGGGGGGGGGGGGATTTCATTTTCTGAAAATTTATTTTTTCACCTCTTTTCTGCTCTCTAACTTTATTCTGTAGTCTGTTTTCGTCTTCACTTTCTGCCCCCCTCCCCCTTTTTTCTACTGCTACCCCTTGGCTCCTTCTTACTGCTGTCGATCTTAGGTTAGGTAAGATCGAACATTTTGCCTTCTCGGATAATAGCAAAAATTGCGGAGGTCCCGTGTACAAGTTGCGTACGTTAAAGATCATGGTGGTTGAAAATCGAAAAGAGTAGGCTTCTGACGCCACCCGGGCAAAATTCAAAATGATTCCTACCAAACTGAAAATGTTTAATGTGTCTCGCGCGCTCACATAACCTTATTAAGTTGTGAGCGCCGTAGAATTCTAAGACTTGCCGAAACAATGTTATATGAAGATCTAAAGTCGTTGCAAGGGACGCGTAGGGTGACAGCGCTGCTTCTAAAAGGTCTATTGCACGTTCAGTTAAAACTGACTGTTGTCCGGCTTTGATGCAGACTCAACTGAACCACTTCTTCTTTTTTTAGACAGACTTTCCGACCCGTCGGCCGCAACACAAATGGTCGCTTTTAAGCACAAGGGAGCTATCCCGAAAAATGCTGTTTTGAGAAAATAGTAGGTAACGTTTTTGCCCCTAGTTTAGTTTCTTTAAAAGATAAGGAGCGTTTTCTCTATAACCAAACAGATACACACACACAAACACACACACACGCACAGACACACACACACACACACACACACACACACACACACACACACACACACACACCAATGAAATCAAACTTCTCCTTCTTTAGGTAGGGCCATGTTCACTGTTGGTGTAGGTCAAGATTTCTGGAAATCCCTGAAATCTGGGTTAGCCCACTTTGTCCTTCAAAGCGACCAAATCAAGCATAGCTTGATTTTCGATCATCTGGCCTTGGGGTTATCAGCTGCCCGCTGGTGATAAAATTCTAGTTTATAATCTTATTGAAAACCACGTCTTAATTAACGTAAGAATATCAAATTCCAAACCAGCGTATCAAAGTTAACAATAGGAATCGCAGATGACTCTTTTTCTTGCTGGATTTTGAAACAACAAAAAAGAAGTAGTTTTCATTTTTTAAATTTCATTATGTAGATTATTTTTTTCGTATCACAAAGAGGACGGACAAGTGTCAGTTTTAACAGGCTTATTCCTTTCAAAGATGGTGACAAAGCAAGCTGAGTGGGCCAACTCAGTCTTAGTGTGTTTGCTTGGATGACGTCACAGCTGCGAGCTTGAGTACCATTTATAACCGCTTTGCATTGGCTACACTTAAACACATTTAAAAGTTGACATATATCTATTATTTTCCTCAACACCGTACGACGAGGTGGGTGTGTAATTTTCGGGACTCCTGTCATGGAGCGCGGGGAGACGTCTGGACAGTCGTGGGGGAGGGGGGGGGGTGAAATCTGTGAGCTGACACTTAAATGTAGGGGCTGAATTTTAATAACGGGATCAAGATTTTTTTGAAAAAAATATTTTTGTTTGGTAACTGGCCTGCAGAACTACCATGCAAAGTTTTGTTGGGATAGACGATAGGTAAATTAATAAATCAGCTAGGATTTTTTTTAACGCGGTCAGACGAAAGTGGACAAGCTAGATCTGTGCTATAAAATCTTTCCACAGTTCAGGGTTTTCTTCAAGGACAAGGGAGGGTTTGTTTGTTGTTGTTGTTGTTGTTGTTTTTTTTGTTGTTTTTTTTTGGGGGGGGGGGTGTATGGCACGCTTTTCTGACGTCTGGTCATCATGGTCGAAAGCGGAGACTGTTTACAGTACTCTAGATCAAACATTTAAAAAAGTGACTGTGAGTAAAATTCGGAGATCCAACAGCCAACCAATCAGCAGACAGTTACCTGGTGAATACAGGTCAGTTTGCTATCTTTCTCTCTTACTTTGAGCAGAAACTGATTAGTTCGAAGTCAGCCTTAGCAGGGTTTGGAGGCTGTCGACAGATAGTGCTTGTGATTCTGTGATAAAACGTTGGACACTGTCTTCCCGTCCCCTGTGACTAACTAACGAGACGAGACTTCCAGGCTACACAGTCATGATAGATTTCAAATATCTGCGCTAACTATTCAGGTATGTTATTTGTTTGCGTCTTTCTTTTCTTTTTTTTTTCTCTTTCGAGAAATTATCCCGACTTCATTGTTCTGATGCAACTGTTATGTTCTGAAATACTTCTTGAAAGTGGGCTTTATAACCGACTTCCAATTCCTTTTATTGAGTCCCCACTCTTCGCTCTCTCCACTCCTCATCGTATACTTTATGTATACTGAAAGGTCATTCATCTTTCCGGGGGCTCTCGTGGTCGAGAGGTTAGGGTGTTTGCCTCTCTTTCAATAGGTCCCGGGTTCGAATCCGGATGGTGACATGGACATTTTTATTCTTTAATATTGTCTCCTTTCACCTCCTTTCCTGCTCTCAATATGTTCTCTCTTCTGCTTCCGTCTCCACTTCCTGCCCCCACTCCCTCACCTCCTTTGCCCCCTCTTCTGGGCTCATAATTCTTTCTGCAGCTTTTCTACACCCCTGAGGTAAGATCTACACCTGGCCTTCTCAGATAAGAGGGGAAAATCTCGGAGATCTCGTGTGCAAGTTGCACATATTCTGTAAAAGATTCCTTGGTGATCCAAAATCAATAAGAGTAGGCTTTGGCTTCTTATTTTTCCACCCATTTAATAATCATTATTGCTTTGATGGACTTTTCTTTATTCGAACTTCAAAAAGTATAATTGCTAGTTTAACTTCTAATTTTTCTCAGAAAGACGGCACCCACATGAGAAGCCAAACAGCGGGTGGTCTACTGCTCCGATTTCCGTCTCTCACACTCAGGCTTAAAGTGACGCAGTGGGACTGTAGAGATAGGCAAATAGCTTGATAGGGAGCTAGGTGGATAGGTTAGAGTCAGAGTAGGATTTTGTAGGTGTTGCCATGGCCATGGCGGGAGGTAGTTGAGGTTGTAGTGTAGGTTTGGTTTGGGTTTTTTTTTTAGGCGGGTAGGAGGTAGGACGGGAAGGATGGCAGGGGTAGAATGGTGTGGGTAGAGCTTTCTGCTGATCTGAGTTTGAGTGTGAGGTTGTTGGAGTGGCATGAATACTGGATTGTTCCTTGATGTTCGCTGGTGCAGCACAGCCAGACCTGTATCGAAGTGGATCTTCATCACCAGGACCACCTGCTGGTGCAGAGGACAATCTACCAGAGGTATTTGTCGGTGAAGTATTGTCTTGGAAGATTATTTGTTTAATAGTTCAATAAAATTAGAAAAATATGAGACTGAGTTCAATGTAAGTTTTGCTTTTTAATTCAGATTAAACCGGAAAATGATAAAACGTATTTACAGATTTTTTATAAATGACCTTCTGTCCTTTAAACCAACCATAAACTATTTTATAACAACTCTTTATCTGAAGAAACAAAATAATTAACATGTCTGATCTGATGAAACAAGATATTCCTGACATATGTCTTCATCACCAGAACCCCTCCGCTGGATCGGAGGATGACCTGGATGACGACGTCAAGTATACGGTCGGACCATCAACAGGAGGTATTTGTCTGTGAAGTAACTTGTCTTGGAAGATTATTTGTTTATAAGTTTAAAATCAGAAGAATAGCTATCTATGTGACTGAGTTAAATGTAAAACTTGTATTTGTTTAATTGAAATAAAACCGGAAAATGATAAATGTATTTAGTGGCAGATTTTTATAAATGACCCTCTGTCCTTTTAAATCAAGTGTAAACAGTTATATAGCAACTCTTTATCTGATGAAAGAAAAAAAAATAACTGGATTGATGAAAGAGGATATTCACAATTGACACATGTCTTCCTAACCAGGACCCCTCTACTGAAGTGGAGGATGAACTGGACGACTACGCCAAGGATACCACGGCCGAACCAACAACAGGAGGTATTTGTCTGTGAAAAAACTTGATATGGAATAATTTAATTTTTTTCATTAGCTAAAATAAATTACAAAAATGCAAATGGGACTGAGTTCAATGTAAGTTGTTTTATTTTATTCAGAAAAAACTTGAAAGTGATAAATGTTTTTAGCGACAGATTTTTAAAAAAATGACCTTCTGTCCTTTTAAACCAACCATAAGTATTATTTATAATAGCTCCTTTTATTTGATCAAACAAAAAAATAAGCTACATTGATAAAAGATATTCCTACTTTACACATGTCTTCATCACCAGGACCCCTCCGCTGGAGTGGAGGATGACCTTGATGACAAACCCTAAGGATTCCACGGCGGACCATCAACAGGAGGTATTTGTCTGTGAAGTAATGTGTCTTGGAAGATTATTTGCTTATTAGTTTAATAAAATTAGAAGAAAATCTATCTGTGCGACTAAGTTAAATGTAAATTTTTTATTTGTCTAATTCAGATAAAACCAGATAATGATAAAATGTATTTTGTGACAATTTTTTATAAATGAAGTTTCTTTCTTTTAAACCAGCCGTACACTATTTTATTAAGTCTCTTTCATGTGATAAAACAAAACAAAAACTTTATTAATGGAGGAGGATATTCCTAATTGACACGTCTTCATCACCAGGACCCCTCTGCTGGAGTGGAGGATGACCTGGACAACGATCAAAGGATACCACGGCCGGATCATCAACATGAGGTATTTGTCTGTGAAGTAATTTGTCTTGGAAGATTATTTGCTTATTAGTTTAACAGAATTAGAAGAATATCTATCAATGTGACTGAGTTAAATGTAAAAGTTTTATTTGTTTAATTCTTTTGAAGCCGGAAAATTATAAAATTATTTAGATTTTTTATAAATGACTTTTTGTCCTTTTAAATCAACTGTAAAAAATGTTAAAACAACTCTTTATCTGATGAAACAAAAAAATCGTGATTGATATGAGGATATTTCTAATTAACATATGTCTTCATCACCAGGACCCCTCTGCAGGAGTGGAGGATGACCTGGACGACGACGTCAATGGTACCACTGTCAGACAATCAACAGGAGGTATTTGTGTGTAAAGTAATGTCTTGGAATAGTTTTATTTTTTCATTAGCTAAAAATATTTTAGAAAAATACCTATGAGACTGAGTTCAATGTAAGTTTTGTTTTTAATTCAAATAAAACCGAAAATATAAATGACCATTCGTCCTTTTAAAACTGCAGTAAGCTATTTTATTACGGCTCTTTTTATTTGATTAAAAAAAACAACGTTATTAATGAAAGAGGATTTTCCTAATTGACACATGTCTTCATCACTAGGACCCCTCTGCTGGAGCGGAGGATGGCCTGGACGACGACGAAAAGGATACCAAGACTGGACCATCAACATGAGGTATTTGTCTGTGAAGTAATGTCTTGGAAGGTTATTTGTTTATTAGTTCAATGAAATTAGTAGAATACCTACGACAGAGTAAAATCTGGTTACATTTTTTTTTTTAATTCAGATAAAACAGGAAAAATGATAAAATGTTTTTAGCGACAGGTTTTTAAAAAATGACCTTCTGTCCTTTTAAACCAACTATAAAACATTTTATAACAACTTTTTATATGATGAAATTTAAAAAAAGCTTTATTGAAGGAGGATATTCCTAATTGACACATGTATTCATCACCAGGACCCCTCTGCTGCAGTGGAGGATGACCTGGACGACGACGCTAAAGATACCACTGCGGCCGAACCATCAACAGGAGGTATTTGTCTGTTAAGTAATGTGTCTTGGAAGATTATTTGTTTATCAATTCAATGAAATTAGAAGAAATCCTGTCTATGGGACTGAGTTAATTGTAAATTATATTTTTTTCATTCAGATAAAATTGAGAAATGATAAAATGTATTTACTAGCTTGTCTTGGAATAATTTTATTTTTTCATTAGCTAAAATTTTTTTAGAAAAATGCAAATGGGACTGAGTTCAATGTACACTACTTTTCGTCTTTTTAAACAAACCGTAAACAATTTTATCAAAAAAGAAAACATAAATGAAAGAGGATATTCCTAATTGACACATGTTTTCATCACCAGGACCCCTCTGCTGGAGCGGAGGATGACCTGGACGACGACGCCAAGTATACCGCGGCCGGACCATCAAGAAGAGGAGGTATTTGTCTGTGAAGTAATGTCTCTTGGAAGATTATTTGTTTATTAGTTTTAAAATTAAAAGAATATCTATCTATGGGACTGAGTTAAATGTACATTTTTTATTTGTTTAATTCTGACAAAACCGGAAAATGATAAAATGTACTAAGCAACAGATTTTTATAAATGACTTTCTGTGCTTTAAACCAACCACAAACAATGTTATAACAACTCTTTATCTGATGAAACAAAAATATTAACATGATTGATGAGAGGTAATTCCTTATCACTTGTATTCATCACCAGGACCCCTCTGCTGGAGCGGAGGATGACCTGCACGACGACGCCAAGGATACCACAGCCGGACCATCTACAGGAGGTATTTATCTGTGAAGTAACGTCTTGGAAAAAATTTATTTCTGCACTAACTCAATAAAATTAGAAAAATACCCCTGAGACTGAGTTCAATGTAAGTTTTGTTTTTTAATTCGGATAAAACCGGAAAGTGATAAAAAGCATTTAGTGGCAGATTTTTGCAATTGACCTTCTGTCCTTTTAAACCAAACGCAATTTTATAACTGCTTTTTTGTTGATGAAACAAAAAAAACTTGATTGATGATGTGCATTCCTAATTGACACATTTCTTCATCACCAGGACCCCTCTGCTGGAGCGGAGGATGACCTACCCGATGACGCCAAGGGTACCACAGCCGCACGATCAGCAGGAGGTATATGTCTGTGAAGTAATGTCTTGGAATAATTTTATTTCTTCACTAGCTCAATCAAATTAGAAAAATAAAAATGGGACTGACTTCAATGTAATTTTGTTTTTTAATTCAAATAAAACCCGAAAATGATAAAATGTGAGGCAGCGTGGTGGAATCAGGCTCTCGTAAAAAATAATGAAAGTGAAGAAATTTGCATTTTTCCACAGGTTTGTGAATATTTTTCAAATTTTTGTTTTTTGGCTCAACGCCTTTCATGCCCATTAAAGAACTCATTTCTGTATGGATTGTTCTTAAAAACATTGATTAAAGGCACAACAAATATAAATTTTCAGTTACCACGGACTCTTAAGCTAAGGAAAGAACTCATCTTTGACAGCCATTTTCTCACTGTTACCTCTGAAAACAGGTGACCCCCACCCCCTTCATTCTCAAATATCTCAACTATTATGTAAGATAGACGTTTTTTTTCCACCCAAATAAAGACAAATAAACAAGGTTTAAGATGATACCTATAACTCTACATGCCCAAAAATTGATGAGAGCCTGATTCCATAACGCTGCCTCACAAATGTATTTACATATTTTTAGAAATGACCTTCTGTCCTTTCAAACCAACCATAAATAATTTTATAACAGCTCTTTTTTTTATGAAACAAAAAAAGAAGCTCTATTGATGAAAGAGGATATTCCTACTTTACACATTTCTTCATCACCAGGACCTCTCTGCTGGAGCGGAGGATGACCTGGACAACGACGCCTTCGATACCACGGCAGGATCATCCACAGCAGGTATTTGTCTGTGAAGAAATATGTCTTGTAAGGTTATTTGCTCATTAGCTCAATAAAATGATGTTTGAAAAATCTGTGTGTGGTAATTACGTTAGCAAATTGTCTCTATAGCAATATAGGAAACATACTCAGTTTTTAAAAAAACCAATATATTGCTATTTGTCATTGTCGATGGGTGAGGGTGCCAGTGGCAGGGCCTTCTCGATTTCCTTTCCCCTGTTTTTTTGTGCCAGTCTTGTATTAATGTGTTCCTACTTTTAAAAATCATTATTGCTTTGATGTACTTCCTGTTATTCGTACTTCAAAAACTTTTATTGTATTTTCTCAGAAAGAAGGCACCCACATGAGAAGCCAACAGCGGGTGGTCTGCTGCTCCGATTTCCGTCTCTCACACTCAGGCTTAAATTGACGCAGTGGGGCTGTAGAGATAGGCAAATAGCTTGATAGGGAGCTAGGTGGATAGGTTAGATTCAGAGTAGAGTTTTGTAGGTATTGCCATGGCCATGGCGGGAGGTAGTTGAGGTGGCAGTGTAGGTTTGGTTGTTTTTTTTGGGTTTTTTGGGGGGGTGATGGGAGGTAGGACGGGAATGACGGCAGGGGTGAAATGGTGTTGGTAGAGCTTCCTGCTGATCTTGAGTTTGGGTGTGAGGTTGTTGGAGTTGCATGTATACTGGATTGTTCCTTGATGAGGTTTTCTGGTGCAGCACAGCCAGACCTGTATCGAAGTGGATCTTCATCACCAGGACCACCTGCTGGTGCAGAGGACAATCTACAAGAGGTATTTGTCGGTGAAGTAATTTGTCTTGGAAGATCATTTTATAGTTCAATAAAATTAGAAAAATATGAGACTGAGTTCAATGTAAGTTTTGCTTTTTGATTCAGATAAAGCCGGAAAATGATAAAACGTATTTACAGATTTTTGTAAATGACCTTCTGCCCTTTAAATCAACCATAAACAATTCTATAACAACTCTTTATCTGATGAAAAAAACCCATTAGCTTGTCTGATGAAAAAAGATATTCCTGAAACTTGTCTTCATCACCAGGATCCCTCCGCCTGGACGACGACGCCAAGGATACGGCTGTCGGACCATCAACAGGAGGTATTTGTCTGTGAAGTAAAATGTCTTGGAGGATTATTTGTTTATTAGTTCAATGAAATTAGAAGAATACCAATCTATGGGACTGAGTTAAATGTTTAGGTTATATTTTTTTCATTCAGATAGAACCGGAAAAGATAAAATTTATTTTCAGATTTTTGTAAATGACATTTTTTCCTTTTAAACCAACAGTAATTTTTTTTATAACGGTTCTGTGTATTTGATGAAACAAAAAGAAAGCTTTATTGATGTATGCGGTTATTTCTAATTAACACATGTCTTCATCACCAGGACCCCTCTGCTGGTGTGGAAGATGACCTGGACAACGACGCCAAGGATACCACGGCCAGACCATCAACAGGAGGTATTTGTCTGTGAAGTAATTTCTTGGAATAATTTGATTTTCTTTACTGTCTTAATAAAATTAGAAAAATACCTATGGGACTGAGTTCAATGTAAGTTTTGTTTTTTAATTCAAATAAAACCCGAAAAAATGATAAAATGTATTTACATTTTAATAAATAACATTTTTGTCCTTTTAAACCATCTGTAAACAGTTTTATAACAACTTTTTTTTTGATGAAAGAAAACAAATTAACATGATTGATGAAAGAGAATATTCCTAATTTACACGTTTTCATCGCCAGGACCCCTCTGCTGGAGTGGAGGATGACCTGGACGACGACGCCAAGGATACCACGGCCGGACCATGGACAGGAGGTATTTGTCTGGGAAATAATTTGTCTTGGAATAATTTTATTTTTTCATTAGCTATAAAATCATTCGAAAAATGCAAATGGGACTGAGTTCAATGTAAGATTTGTTTGTTTTTTATTCAGATAAAACTTGAAAATGATAAATGTTTTTAGTGACAGATTTTAAAAAAATGACCTTCTGTCCTTTTAAACCAAAAATAAATATATTTATAACAGCTCTTTTTATTTGATACAAAATAAAAGCTTTATTGATGAAAGAGGATATTCCTACTTTACACATGTCTTCATCACCAGTACCCCTCCGCTGGAGTGGAGGATGACCTTGATGGCAAACCCCAAGGATTCCACGGCTGGACCATCAACAGGAGGTATCTGTCTGTGAAGTAATGTGTCTTGGAAGATTATTTGCTTATTAGTTTAATAAAATTAGAAGAATATCTAGCTATACGACTGAATTAAATGTACATTTATTATTTGTCTAATTCAGATAAAACCAGATAATGATAAAATGTATTTTGAGACAAATTTTTATAAATGACATTTCGTCCTTTTAAACCAGCCGTAAACTATTTTATTATGGCTCTTTTTATTTGATAAAACAAAAAAAAGCATTATTTATGAAGGAGGATATTCCTAATTGACACATGCCTTCATCACCAGAACCCCTCTGCAGGAGCGGAGGATGATCTGGACGACGACGCCAAGGATACCACGGCCGGAACATCAACAGGAGGTATTTGTCTGTAAAGTAATGTCTTGGAAGATTATTTGTTTATTAGTTTAATGAAATTAGAAGAATATATATATATATGGCACTGAGTTAAAAGTAAAGGCTATATCTTTTTAATCTAGATAAAACCGAAAAATGATAAGATATTTACTGACATATTTTTTAAAATAACCTGTCTTTTTAAACCAACTATAAACAATTTTAAAATAACACTTTATCTGATGGAGCAAAAAAAATTCAACATGATTGATGAAAGAGGATATTCTTAATAAGCAAATGTCTTCATCACCATGACCCCTCTGCTTGAGTGGAGGATGCCCTGGACAACAACGCCAAGGATACCACGGCAGGACCATCAACAGGAGGTATTTGTGTGTGAAGTAATTTCTTGGAATAATTTTATTTCTTTACTGTCTTAATAAAATTAGAAAAATACCTATGGGACTGAGTTCAATGTAAGTTTTGTTTTTTAATTCAGATAAAACCGGAGAATGATAAAATGTATTAGCGATTAAAATAACCTTCTGTCCTTTTAAACCAACTGTCAATAATTTTATAACAACTCTTTATCTGAAGAAACAAAAATATTAACATGATTGATGAAAGAGGATATTCATAATTGACACGTGTTTTCAACACCAGGACCCCTCTGCTGGAGTGGAGGATGACCTGGACGATGACACCAAAGATACCTCGGCTGGACCATCAACAGGAGGTATTCGTGAAGTAATTTGTCTTGTAAGGTTATTGCTCTTTAGCTCAATAAAATGTTTGAAAAATCTGTGTGTGGTAATTACGTTAACAAATTGTATCTATAGCAATATAGAATACATACTCAGTTTTAAAAAAAACCCCAATATATTGCTATTTGTCATTGTCGATGGATGAGGGTGCCAGGGGCAGGGCCTTCTCTTTTCCTTTCCCCTTTTGTTTGTTCCTACTTTTAATAATCATTATTGCATTGATGGACTTCCTGTTACTCGAACTCAAAAAAGTATAATAACTAGTTTAACTTCTAATTTATTTTCTCAGAAAGACGGCACCCACATGAGAAGCCAACAGTGGGTGGTCTACTGCTCCGATTTCCGTCTCTCACACTCAGGCTTAAAGTGACGCAGTGGGGCTGTAGAGATAGGCAAATAGCTTGATAGGGAGCTAGGTGGATAGGTTAGAGTCAGAGTAGGATTTTGTAGGTGTTGCCATGGCCATGGCGGGAGGTAGTTGAGGTTGTAGTGTAGGTTTGGTTGTTGTTTTTTAAGGGGGGTGGGAGGTAGGACGGGAAGGGTGGCAGGGGTAGAATGGTGTGGGTAGAGCTTCCTGTTGATCTTGAGTTTGAGTGTGAGGTTGTTGGAGTGGCATGTATACTGGATTGTTCCTTGAGATTTGCTGGTGCAGAACTGTATCGAAATGGATTTTTATCACCAGGACCCTTCAGGAAAACCTCAAATGGAGGTATTTGTCTTTGAAGTAATTTTTCACAGAACGTTATTGGTTAATTATTACTGTAAATTTCAAAAATATCTATTGAGGGGTCGGAGTTCAATGTAGTTTTATTTTTTGCATTTAGATGGAAAGGGAAAATGATGAAATGTATAAATTTTACTAACAGACTTTTATGAATGTCCTTGTGCCCTTTTAATCAATACCAACAAAGGCAGTTACTTGGAAGATATGTATATGGCACTTAAATTACCAAATTGTCTGAGTAGGACCATAAGAAAATACACATTCAAAAACCACCACTGTATCTTATTTTGGGTGGTTTGAGGGTGCCAATGTCAGCTTTCTTTTTTTTTCTTTTCCTCTGTAGTTTTATATTGTAATGTGTGCTAAGTGACCACTATTGCAACTACGTTGTCATTACTCACATTTAGTAGCTCAAATTCACTTTTTTTCCTCCTTATAAAGCTGCCTAGCCAACAGTTGACAGACCCCCAAGAAGCAGATACCCTGTCCTGAAAGCAAGAGCCTTCCACTCAGCCTGGATGGTAGCATCCCCCTTCTGCCCATGACTTCCTGCCAAATGAAAGTGCTGTGCTAGCATGATCGAATTGTGTCGACCGCACTGCAACAAACAATATTTCAATCAGACAGTCAAGAACTAACAGACACTTGCCAAGTTTCAAGAATCCCGCCAGCAGACAACTACTCTTGAATGGACTCGTCAACTCCGCCAGTTAACATCCCCGGACAACTTTTAACACCGAGGTACCTAGACAGTTTTACATCTCTTATGTGAAACTATGCTGATAGTGCCGAAAAAAAGTCTAGTAAAGACTCAAGAAAACAATGTTCCTTGTATGATGTCCAGCTGGAGACTTTGTAATGAAGCCACTTAGATACAAGGTCGCTGATTTAAATTTAAAACGATAAGACATCTTGTTCCCTACTCTCAGTACAAACTTTGGTGACATCAGAAGGTCAAGCCACTTTTCTGGTCAATCAGGTGGGAACAGCTGCCTGCTGCTTTAAGTTTGAGTGTGAGGTTGTTGGAGTGAATTTTGTTTACTGAAAAGTTCCTTGCAGTTTGTTGGTGCAGTAAATAAATGTTTACTCATTTGATCATTAACAAATAAACAAATAAACAAGTACTGCCTGTTGTTAGTTCGGCCTTTGGCCTTCTGTGGTAGACGTTCTGATACCATCAGTATTTTCTTGACCAGAAGTGTGTCGTTATAAAAAGTTTGACGTGCACTGAGTCAACAAATTAAGTCTTTTTACTGCTACAATTTTTTTTTTTATGAATGGTCAGAACTTTACTTCGACCCCATGTTATTGACCTTTTTAAGCTCCTTGACTTAGCTCTGACCTCTCTCTGGTGACCTTTTAGTGGGGCTTATTGACATAACTATAACCCCTTATTGTTGATCATTTAAACTTTTACCTTTAGTCTGACCTATGTTGTTGACCCTCAGGACTCATGTTCTGTCTTTTTCCAACCCCTGGCTGGTGTAAATTTAGAACTTTACCTTCACTCTGAACCATGTTGATTTTACCTTCAGTCCGACCCCACGTTATTGACCCTCAGGACTCATGTCTTGACCTAGCTCCGATCCCTCTTGGTGACCCTAAAGAATTTTATTGGGTCGTTAGTGCCGTAAAACACCCAATCAATCAATCTAAAGAACTTTACCTTTAGTCAGATCCCATGTTTGAATTTATCTCCAGTCTGAACCCCCATTTATTTTTACTTTTAGTCCGACCCCACACTTTTTACCCTCATGACTCATATCTTGATCTTTAGTCCAACCCCACATTCGTTTTTACCTTTAGTTTGACCCCACATTATTGACCCTCAAGACTCGTGTCTTGACTTAGCTCCAACTCTTCTTGGATTCACTACAACTGACAATGTACACAATCTCATAGATAGAATCGCCAGATGTATCAATGATATAAGAAAATGGATGTTCAAGAACAAATTAAAATTAAATGAGGAAAAGACCGAAATATTTCTTCGTAGCAGCGCATGCAATGAAATCGACAATATCAGAATAAACATCAATGGCCACGAAATATCAGCCCAAATTTTCATATTTCGATTAGACAGAATCCATCCAAGCTGTAGATCGTTGTGAGTTTGTATGTGCGTATGTGCATATGTACGTATGTGTGTATGTGAGTATGTATGTGTGTGTGGTGAGTTCGTGAGTGAATATGTGTTTGCATGAGTATAGTGATTTGTAAATCCATTATATGTATCATGTTAAGCGCATAGAGCATTGCATAAGTGGATATGCGCTATATAAATGCAATTCATTATTAACCTCCGAAACATATCCTTTAGTCCCACCCCACGTTGTTCCTCAGGACTCCTGCACTGACTCAGCTCCGACCCCTCTTGGTGACCTTAAATAACTTTACCTTTAGTCCTACCCCACGTTATTGACCCTCAGGACACGTGTCTTGACCTAGCTCCGATCCCTCTTGGTGACTCTAAAGAACTTTACCTTTAGTCCGACCCCACATTTGTTTTTACCTTCAGTCTGACCCTACGTCATTGACCCCCAGGACTCGTTTCTTGGTGACCCTGAAGAACTTTACATTTAGTACGAATCGATATTTGTTTTTACCTTCAGTCTGACCCCACGTTGGTGACTCTCAGGACTCACGTCTTGACCATAGTCTGGCCCCACGTTTTTTACCTTTAGTCCGACCCCATGCTATTGACCCTCGGGATTCTTGTCTTGATCTTTAGTCCAACCCCACGTTGTTGACCCTCAGGACCCATGTCTTGACCTAGCTCCGATCCGTCTTGGTGACCCTAAAGAACTTTACCTTTAGTTCGATCCCATGTTTGTTTTTATCCTCAGTCCGACCCCATGTTGACACTCAGGACTTATGTTTTCACCTTTAGTATGACCCACTTTGTTTTCACCTTTTGTCCGACCCCACGTTATTGACCCTCAAGACTCGTGTCTTGACTTATCTCCGACTCTTCTTGGTTAACCTACTAAACATATTGTTTAGTCCGACCCATGTTGTTTTTTCCTTTAGTCCGACCCCACGTTTTTGACCCTCAGGATTCATGTCTTGACCGAGCTCCAACCCCTCTTGGTGACCCTAAAGAACTTTACCTGTAATCCGATCCCATGTTTGTTTTAATCTTCAGTCCGACCCCACATTTGTTTTAATCCAACCTCACGTTGTTGACGGTTAGGACCCAAGTCTTTACCTAGCTCCGATCTCTCTCGGTGACCCTAAAGAACTTTACCTTTGTCCGATCCTTCGTTTGTTTTTACCTTCAGTCCATCCCCACATTATTTACCCTCAGGACTCATGTCTTGACCAAGCTCGATCCCTCCTGGTGACCCTAAAGAACTTTACATTTTGTTTGAACCACTTTGTTTTCACTTTTTGTTTGACCCCAAGTTATTGACCATCATGACCCATGTCTTGACTTAGCTCCAACTCTTCTTTGTGAACCTACGGAACATATCCTTTAGTCCGACCCATGTTGTTTTTCCCTTTAGTCAGACCC